TTCTACATCTATATATATACACACACACACACACACACACACACACACACAACAGCTGAATTAGTGCTCATGGATACACTTTTCTTCTATATTATATGTTTTTCCTGGGAAAGAGGAGGACTGAGAATGGGACAGGACATACTTGAGATATTCAAAATTGTTAGAGGCTAGTGAGCCTTAAATACAGATGATATTTCTGTACAACTAATTAAAACAACAAAAAAATTGTAAGCAGTAAGACTGGAGGACAAAAGTTGAAGATATGAAAAACTCAGGATTAACTCCAGTTATGGCAGTATTATTACATTTCTAACAGGGTGTTTGTCCTATGACCTATGGAATAGTTTACATTCAAGTATTGTAGAAGCTGTAACAATGATTCTTAAAGGGAGATTCAATGAAAAGGGTTTTTCTCTATGTTGTGTGGAGTAGGGTGGTAAAAGAGAATGGGATAGTCTAAATGGATAAATGGTTCCTTGTTATTCCATGGTTTATTATGGTCATGAATGTTATCCTTGTGTTTTAAAGATATAACCAACTGTTGTAGGTCAGCAAATCAAGGTTCCATTAGTTCATTGGATAAAATACATTTGATTTGTTATAGTTAACCTTGTGCTTTTATATTTATTTTTTATTGAGTAATAAGTGTATTGGCCTTTTGCATTGTAAATTAAGTCAAAATTCCAAGAACATGGTTGTTTAACCTTGTTAAAATCAAGATTTACAATTGTAAAACAATCCACTCATTAATGTTTATATTTCATCTACATATACATGTGAAGTAGCCTAAGGACTAAACTACACATTACATGTAGGTGCATGTACATTTGTATTCATTAGCATTCTTGCAAATCAGTCATTGAAAATATTATGTGCGAGTGATGCTTTACTGTTACACATTGATTTTTGTATAGGTGCATTATATGTAACTTAATCTAATAAATAGAAGCCAGTATGTCAAATATTTTAACAGTATTTTTTCATCATTTACTGAACTTGTATAGAAAGTACTATAATACTATAATACTAATACTTTAGTACTATAATATAGCAATATGGTAATTACCTTTTGTGCTTAAGTAGAATGATTACCTGCGAATCTGTTTAGAAAAAGATTTCCTTAAAAATGGCATAAGAATAGATAAGTGATATCATTAACTTAACATAAAACTTAAGGACTAGGAACTAGTGTTGGTCCATCCATGCCATCCCATCCTCACTAACTCAACTTAGAAAAAAAAAGAAACCTCAAAGGTAGATCTTATTATTCAATTATTTTCAAGCTTTCCCTTAAATTTTTTGCATCCACCATATCTAAAGGCAATTAATTCCAAAGGCCAATCACTCTGTTAGAAATATTAAACTGTCTTAGTTGAAGATGATTCTTACACTTCCAAAACTTGCTGTTAACATAAATCAAAAACAGAAAGGTCTTAACACATAACCTAGAGTTATCTTATTTGTGGCATTAATCCAGTTGAAATGAACTCCATTTATAACAACACTATGGATTCTTCCATCCAGCCACTTTTCTATCCAATGAGTGAACTTATCCCCCTTAAACCTACAGAGGTAATTTTTAACAAACCTTTTATGTGACACCTTGTCAAATGCTTTCTGAAAATATAAATATACCAAACCACACTATTACCCTCATCTGTATAAGCAGTAACCTCTTTAAAGGATGCCTAAAGATTAGTAAGACAAGATTTTTCTCTAGTGAAATCATGCTGATTATCGAACAAACTTCAGAATTTTAAACTTTTTTATATGACTTTGGAAAACATCTTTTGTCAGATTTTTGAAAACATTTCCTACAATGATGTAAGACTAATAGGCCTGTAATTACTGGAACAATTTTAACACCTTTCTTGAAAAGATGAGTCACATTAACCAACTTTCAATCCTCAGGCACAATTCAAGGACTTACAAAAAATAGTAGCAAGTGGCTCACATATCTGATCATTAACCTTCTTCATAGAAAGCAAACATGTCATGAATGAATGGAAAAATGTATATGATGTTAGAGATGTTTTTGGAATGGGTGTTTATTTGACAAGAGATTTACCAAGTCAAAAACTGTGAAAGTGAATCCTTTAATTCTGTAGCTATAGCAAGTCATATAATTATCTTCAGCATTTCAGTACTAAAGAAAATATGCTCTATTATCTTACCCAATGATGCAGACCAATTATTGCTTAACATAGAAAAAAACAAATTGTAGAAGATAGCATAGAAATCAGAGAAGTCATATCTAGGAACAAGTTAAAGAAAAATATAAACGAAGTACTGCTTGGAGACAGCTTGAATGGGTAATGAAGAAAAACTTTAATATAAGTTTAACATAAGTTTAACAAGGTTTTGTACCTGATGATGACAAAACCTTGTCAAAGTGTTGTACATTTGCTGTTATGTTAAACTTATATTAAAGTTTTTCTTCATTACCAATTCAAGCCATCTCCAAGCATTATTAGTCTCAAAGTAGGTTCCTCGTCATCAAAAATAAATGAAGTACAATGAAACTTCCACAGAAAGTTGTTATAAGTTCCGTTGTGTACTTCGCTACAAAGGATGGAGTTTTTTATTTGTGTAAAATAAATATCAAACTAAATAGATTACTGATTTTTTAGCTTGATACAGTCAGTACCTTGTAAATGCATTCAAAATGATAATGTTTACATGTACAGTGCTAGTTTTCAAACATTCCTAGTATATAGCTAATATTCATTGATACATCGATCTTTATATAGCTAGATATTCATCTGTATTTAATATTTTGCTCTAAAAAAAGCTGTTAAATCCTTACCATTAGTAGTACTTTCTTTTAGCATAATTTCTGTAGTCAAATTCCAAGATTGATTTTTGGTGTTCCTACCCCTAATGAAAAATCTACTGAATTGGCCTGTATCATTGTATGACAGGTTTTAGAAATTTATTTACAATTTTTTCCACATTTGATCAGTATCTCCAGTTGTTTAAGTTGTCTTATTCACAACAGGTAAGTAATTCTTGTCATATCCTTTCAAAATTTGATTTTCTTGAAATTTGGAACCAAAATCACATTATTCTTTATGTCCATATGCAGCAAAACATCATATCAAGTTAAGCAATGATCACGTGTCCAGATGTTTCCCAGTCTCTACTATATCAATCATTTCTTTATTAGAAGTTAACAATACATCTAAAATGACATTGTT